CCCCCCCCCCCCCCCCCCAACAAATTCTCTCTTTTTAAAACATGGAAAATCCTTGTTCCTCTGCAATTAAAATGAAACTCCGTGAGAGAGATGGATCAGTCAATCAGTTTGGGCAATGTTTTATTGATGTATTTAAATTTTAAAGTAATTTGGAAGCCTACCAGTACCTTTTTTATCATTGTAATAAAATAAATTCTAAATATCTATACACTCTGGTATTTGCTTCTGTTTTTGTTTATCATAGAAAAATCAAAGTTGCTCCTTTGCTCACCAGGATGTAGAGGCAGCTGCAGCTGGACCCACAGTTGCTTTGTGGTGCTGAGCAGCACTGATATGCTGGTGCTCAGCCCCTGCCTGCCTGCCATTGCCTCCTGGCAGCATCTTTCCCAGCACTAGGACATGGGTCCAACTGCAGCTGTCCTACCTGCTGCTTTGTGCTTTTGAGCAGTGCAAGCCTTTACTGTTCTGTTCCCTGTGCCCTTCCTGGGAAGCCCTTGACTGGGGTTCAGGGACTAAGCTGGGCAAGTCCCTTCCCTTCCACGCTGGTTCTGTGTGCTACATAGCCTCTGGGTCTCAGGTGACACTGCTGCAAGGCTCTCCCTGCAACAGAGACTGAATGCACTGAGGGCCCAATGCTGGTGGCAGCCACTGCTGTCTCTGGTGAATACTGTGCAGTGGGGGGAGGAGCAAGCAGGCATATGGCTCCCCACCCCCCAAAACAGGCTAGTGAGGCCAAGTCTGGCTCTGGCAGCCTCTCCTTCCCAGAGCTCCCCTTCCCCCTCTACCTCTCTTTCTGCCCCAGCCATCACCATAAACCCATAGATCCTACTGCCACCACCCCTCTCCCTCCACATGTCCCAGCACTGGTGTAGACACACAGCAGTTGGGCTTGCAGCCATGGCTCCTGTCAGCAGGATCTGTCCCATCTAGCAGCTGGGCATGCAGGGTGTGAGATTTGGGAGGCTGGGGGAATGGTGTGAGAGGATGCGTATGGGGCTTGTGGGTGGATTATGTGGGGGCAGGATGCCACACACCTGCTCCATTCCCTCCCTCTTCTCCATGCCTCCTCTCCCCCCCCCCCCCCCCAATGATGCACAGTCCCCACTACCATTGGCAGCAGCCAGCAGCATGCCCACTATAGGCAGAGACCCCCTGGTAATGCACGGTGCTTCCTGAGACCTGGGGGCTACACATGGCACATGGAACCAGCCTGGTTTGCTGGAGCCTAGATATCGCAGCGGACAGGCAGTGAAGTCTTGCACAAGACTACGCTCACTTCTGCACTGTAGGGAGGAGCCATGTGCCATGGGGCTGGGCTGGCTCCTGCCTCCACATGGTCTGTGTCATCAGGCTGGACCAGCTTCACATGGAGGCAGGATAATCACCCAATGGCATACGACTCTTGCCTGTAGTTCTAGGAGCCCTGGGTGGCAGCAGGAGCCAGCCCAGTCCTGACTGAAGGTGTGTCAGCAGACCGGGCCAGCTTGGTATGCCACGTAGCCCCATGGGAGCTCTGCCTGCAGCTGACTGAGTGCCCTGATGGCCCACTGCTGCTGCCAGTGGTCAGGGCTGTGCACCATGGTGGGTAGGGGACCCACCCCTTCCACAGAGTCCCTTCCTTCTCTCTCTTTCCCCCCTCCCAACTTCTGCTTACCAGGGACAAAGCTTGGGTCCCAGCTGGCTCTGAGTCACTGCTGCCAGCCTTGCCCTGCTTCTATTTTCTCCCACACACTGAGGCAGCATGCTGGAGCAGCAGGGTCGTGACAGGCAGAGGTGCTCTGGCTAGGTGCTAGAATGTCTCTTTGAAGGATCCAGCCTCCACTTGCTTTGCGAGGGGCAGCCTCCATGCTGCTATTTATTTATTTATTTTTCCTGGCATGCTTTTTTTTTTTTTTTTTTTT